TAGAAGGTTCATTACCTGAAGATATATATGGTAGCGTGCAAATGTGAGGGGGATAGTTGTAAAAAAGAACATTCTCTGAAGACCCTTGTCCTCCCCACAGCTGTTTCCTGCCAGTGCTTTGCTGATGAGGTCATGCATTTATTCTAACCCATCATTGGGAGGATTGGGCATTCTCAGCATGCCAGGAAGAAGCAGGCGTAATTGCATACCGGTCACGCAGCTAGCAGGTGGTCCAGTTGGAATTCAACTCAGACCTGCCTGAGTACAGGGTTATGAAGAAACACAGGGGTCCGCCTCAGCCCCAAGATCATCAGAGCTGTGTCAAAAGGAAAAGCCAGAAATGGAGGAGGAGGATCGGAGTGGGAGAGTCTGCTGTATTTCCCTTTTGTCTTTTTTTCCTTTTAAAGCAGTGATTCTCTACTTTCCTAATGCTGCGACCCTATAATACAGTTCCTCATATTGTGCTGACCCCAACCATGAAGTTATTTTCATTGCTACTTCATAACTGTAATTTTGTTACTGTTAGGAATCATAATGTAATTTTTTTTTTTAATTCGGAGCTGAGGACCGAACCCAGGGCCTTGTACTTGCTAAGCAAGCACTCTACCACTAAACTAAATCCCCAACCCCTTTTTTGGTTTTTCGAGACAGGGTTTCTCTGTGTAACTTTGGTGCCTGTCCTGGATCTCGCTTTGTACACCAGGCTGGCCTCAGACTCACAGAGATCTGCCTGGCTCTGCCTCCGAAGTGCTGGGATTAAAGGCATATGCCACCACCGCCTGTCTCTGTAAATATTTTTGAGAGAGAGAAATTTGCCAAAGGGGTCATGACCCACAGGTTGAGAACCACTGCTTTAGCTCAACCTGTGAGAGACTGAGATTATAACAGTTAAAGTGCTCCCCACATCTCCCATCATGCTCTGTACATGGCTTCGTGTAGGTGGCAGATAAATCAATAAGTGAATGAACATTTGAGGAAATGTGTGGGGAATGACCTCAGTGTGCAGAAGAGTGAAAAGGGAGCCAGTGAATGGATGAGCTAACTTCCATGATTGCTATGAAGACGACCTCTGACCCTTTGTGGGCACAGTCATGCTGGCACCTGCCCCTGTGTTTCCACTGAAAGTGACTGACAGACACTGGGCATGGTGGCACACACCATTAATCACAGTACTCGTTTGAGGTCACTGATGACCCTTTCCCAAACCCTTGCAACCCGGACACAGTGACAATGGATGGCATTGAAGTCACTATGGTCTCTACATCTTTAACTGCAGTAGCATACTTTGCCCAAGTGGAGCCTTCCTCCAAAAATCTCCAACACTGATTGCAGGGGCCTCTGAAATAAAGTCCTAAACAGGACCCTGCAATAGCCAAAGGTCCAGTAATACTGGTGTTGGACTTCCATAACCAACTCTAATAAGCTAGGAATGTGCACAGGATCAGCCTGAAGGTGGCTTTTCGGCATTGGGAAAGACATCCTTTCTGCATCTTAGAGTCTGCATCTGTTAAGTGAACATTGCAACCTCATAGCCAGCATCTGGCACAAAGTAGGTGTTCAGCAAATGTACAGTGAATGGATGAATGGGAGGGCTAGAGATGATAAATGAATAATACTTTACACAAAATAAGCACTTCGGTCTTCTAACTCGAAAACAGCGGAAGCTGGAAGCCTTTTCCTTCCCTCCTCGCCGGCCGCTACAGTGCTCAGGGAGGGGGGCCTTCACAGGGCAGGTGCTTCCTTCTCAGACTATGGCACAGCCAGGGTCAAGACCTCATGCCCATAGGATGAGCAGCGTGTCTTAATCTGACGAACCTGCAGGTGGCGCCCGCGCTACCAGCAATCTTCCAACAGAGGTGGAGCCAAGCTCGTTACTTGGCCAGGGAGGGGCCGGTCTAGGACTCGGAGGTGGGCGGGCAGGAGCGCGGGTCTGGGGGGGGGGGGTGCGACGGACTCTCACGATGGTGAGCTGGATCTTTCCCAAAGCTCTCTCAAGCAGTTAAAAAAGTAAAGGATGCACACTTCACACTCTGGCCAGCGTGTTGCATCACACATGTTTTCATCACTCAGAAAGCTGACAGTTTGCATCACTGAGATTAATTTTAGGACTCTTGTGAGCTCTATATAGCGAAGTGTTAGACGACAAAGATACAGCTCACTATTAGAGCGCCAGTCCCCAGCATGCAAAGTCTAAATGTGAAGACTAGAGCAAATGCAAAGGCTGTCTTTCGATTATTCTGAGGGAGCCCCACACATCTGCTCTTCTTAGGAAGACTGATACCTGCTTTGTGCCAGGCACTGTTCTGAACACTCGAGGAAACCCATTGAATTCTCGCATTCTCATTCTACAGATCAAAAAATTAAAACTATAAAGCAGGCAGTTCCCAGATCCAGCACAAAAGACACACTTGGGACCAGCTATGACTCTGTGATCCAAGAGATAAACAAACCACAGGGGTGTGTGTGTGTGTGTGTGTGTGTGTGTAACAAACAAACAAAACAACAACATTGCTACTCCTCAAAAACCTTTGGAAGGTGAGAGAATGCTTTTTTAAAAGTTCAGATTTGAAGGACAGGCGAGTGTAAGTCAGCGTAGAGTGTGTGTTTAACGTGTTGAGTTACTGGACTCAATCCCCAGCCCAACAAATTAAATTCTAGTTTAATTTAAATCAATTCAGATATAACTCTGACCTTCCACCATGTGGGTTTTTTGTGTGTTTGTTTTGCTTTTGGTTTTTGAGACAGGGTTTCTTTGTGTAGCCCTGGCTGTCCTGGAACTCCCACTGTAACTAGGCTGACCTCAAACTCACAGAGATCCGCCTGCCTTTGCCTCTCAAATGTTGGGATTAAAGGTGTTCACCACCACCACCCAGCTCATCATGTGATTTTTTTAATTTTTAAAATTTATATTTTTTTATGTATGAGTGGCTCTACGTGTATGCCTGCAGGCCAGAAAAGGGCATCAGATCCCACTGTAGATGGTTGTGAGCCATCTATGTGGTTGCTGGGAACTGAACTCGGGACCTCTGGAAGAGCAACCAGTGCTCTTAACTGCTGAGCCATCTCTCCAGCCCCCACCATGTGTTTTTATAGAATTGTCATAGGGCCCAAAATTTCACATTTTGAGCTTAGTAATTCTGAAGAAGCCAGTCAGATGGCTTTTGAATGGTGTGTCATGGTGTTTAAAGAATGTGGACAATGTACAATCAGTCTGCCACATGGGCAGAGTTCACACAAACTGAGCCAGACACAGGCGGAAAATATTTAGACCAAAAAAAAAAATGTTCATCTATATTGAACATGTACAGATTTTTCTTTTCATTTCCTAAGCGATACAGTATAAGAATTCATATAGCCTTTACTTTGTACTTGATGTTATATCCAGACACGATTAAGTTGCCGGAGGACATGCATGGGGTATAGCAAGCATTATGATGGAATGGGCTGGAATATCCATGGAAGGAGGTGCTGTAACCAGGATGCTGAGAACAACTGTGCAGTACATACCCATGTGACTTCTGTTAGAATTCCTAGCCACTCCCCCAGCACATGCACGACGTAGCTATAAGCCCATATGTACATGTGGTGTGTGTGGGGGCGGGGACCTATAAAAGTGGGATCCACCTATTCCTTCTCTCTTTTCCTCCACGCACATTCCATAGGCCTATGCACATCTTTTCTATTCCCTATTCCCTTCCCTTAATAAACTCTTATAGTGGGTTTTGTTGTGCCTCGTGGCTTCTCTCATATGGTAAACTTAATGAATCACTTCTACAGACTCCTTTGTTGAGGGCAATGGGGGTGAGGGTGGAGTGTCTGAGAATGGTGAGAAACTAAGAGGACATGGAATTGGGGCTGCATATGGCTCAGTGATAGAAGTGTTATTGAGAAATAGGGAGTGGGTTTTAGTCTTACTGATAAAAAATAATTAAAAAAAAAAAATGGACTCAGGCCGGGCGGTGGTGGCGCACGCCTTTAATCCCAGCACTCGGGAGGCAGAGCCAGGCGGATCTCTGTGAGTTCGAGGCCAGCCTGGGCTGCCAAGTGAGTTCCAGGAAAGGCGCAAAGCTACACAGAGAACCCTGTCTCGAAAAACCAACAACAACAACAACAACAAAAAAAAAAAAAAAAAAAAAAAAGGGGACTCAGAATGAAGTTTTGAGAACCATCTCATGGGAATTTTAGGGAAACTAACAGGGCAGGCAAGCTGTAAATCTCGGCTGCTACCAGAAGGAAAGAGATAGAAGAATCCAAGAAAGAGTCCAAGAATATAGACAGGCTGGGCAGTGGAAGCCTGAAAGCAGCTTGTAGGGTATGGGGGGAGGGGGGAAGAACTATCATGGCAACCAAGGTCGACATTTTTAGCGGGCAAACCTTGAGGGGCAATTTGTGGTGCTTCCCTTCCTTAAAATTAGTGTGTTACGAAGGAAACAAGATATGGCAGGCCGAGCTGATCTGAAAGGAAAGCCTATCCTCAGTGGCCTCCGAGTCGGCTAATGCCTGTCTGTCTACCCAAAAGAATAGGTCCTGTTTCTTTTGTTTTTGAGAGAGGGTCTCATATAGTCTAGGCTAGCTTTGAACTTTTGATCCCTGGGCAACTCCTCTCCAGTACTGGAATGATAGGAATGAGACACCAGGCCAGGCTAGAAAAGGTCCTAAAAGCCTGGATTCGGTCCCCAGTACAAAGCCGGAAACTGAAGCCAGAGAAGCATCGATGAGTTTCTGTTGCAGGCCCTACAAAGCGGTCCCACCTCTTAGGCCCTAAGACTTAGGGGTTCGAGCCTGCTGCCCTGCCCGCTCTACTGCTGGGCTGACCAACGCCGAGACCCGACTCCAGCCGCAGGGGGCGCTGTCCCGTTTTCCTGCAGCAGGAAGCGTAGCCTCGCATACCTTCTGTGACTGCGCCGCGGGGAAACGTCATATCCGGCCCTGCGCGCACTGCACCGGAGCCGGAACTGGTGGGAGAGTGGTTTTCCTACGACCCCTTCTTGGATAGATAACTCCCTCTAGCCTACATCCTGTGCTCTTACCAGGCGATCCCCGGGAAGTTCCACCTCTTGGAGACCTCGGACCGCAGCATAAGCCTCAAAAGCCACTTCAATGTCCCCTCTCACGTGCTCCGGAAGACCATGTCTTCCCGGCTGTCCAAGGAACTGCGGCAGAAGTACAACGTCCGCTCCGTGCCCATCCTCAAGGACGATGAGATCCAGGTACATCCAGGAGTCCTCGGGTTCTAGTTACCCAGGGGCGTATGGCTCAGTTACCCCCTTAGCATGAAATCCCGCAGTAGTCATGTACCCCAAGACCTCAGCAAGGCCACTTCAGTGCATTTGGTTCCTCGATAATAGTAATAATATGCCGAGACTGCAAACATCTGCTTTCTCAATTTAGCCCACTGACCTGTAGTTTGCCAAGTATAGCTAGCCATGATGGCTCCTTGAGCCAGTCTTTGAAGGAGAAAGTGCTACAGTATCTCATGAATTTAGCAGAATTGGACAGGGATTTGAGAGAGTCGACCATATAACGATACTAGGTGCGACAGGGAAAATGAGTTGGTAGCAGCAAGTCAGAGGTGCAAAACTATCAAAGACCATGTGTTCCCAGTGACTGGAGCATAGGGTGTAACAGGACTGTGAGGGATGAAATCGGCAGAGATTAGATCGGTTGCTGGAAGGAGTACTATGCACTTAGCAGGCATTCGTTGTTCTGAACATTAGCTGTGAACAGGACTGAGGAAGCCTGGACTACATGGTGAGACTTGTGTGGTCCCCCCTCCTCCCCAAAAGAGTTGCCTACAACTGTGCTCCCATTCACTTGTGGATGGCCTCCAGTTTCACCCCTGCGGCCTTATAAAATCTGCTCTGAGCTGAGAGCACCTCTGTGGCTCAGTACAGTGGCCACATTTATTAACAGGTGGCACCACCACAGTTGAGTTCATGCTTTCAGTGGCTTGCAACTTCCCAGATTCCTCTTCTGATTGTTTTCCCCCCTCTGATCCCTACCTAACTCCTGGAGTTCATCAAGGCCTGTGTCTGGTCTAACATTCCTCCCGTTTAGTATTCTCTCCAAGCTTTCAGTGTGTGTGTTTGTGATAGCAACTCCCCACTTTTTGAAATTAATCTGAGACAGGATGTCACTATTTAGCTAAGGCTGGGGTTTGTTGTTGTTGTTGTTGGTGGTGGTGGTGGTGGTGGTGGTGAACTGTGGTGGTAGTGGTTAACTGTGGTGGTTAACTGTGGCGGTAGGGAGCAAACCGGGGGCCTTAAACCTGCTAGGCAAGCACTCTGCTACTGGGACACAAGCTCAGACCCCTAGAGTGGTCTTGATCCTAACACTCCCACTGCTTCTAAAATCTGATTTTCCTCTCAGCTTCTGTATGTCCATAGGTGACGTATCTCACCAGATGTCTTGTGATTTTCCTTAGTGACCCTCGCTGTCCTCACGGAGCAGGGTCATCTCCCTGTAATCCCAACACCGTCGTCCTATTGTGACAAAAGCCATTTCTATCAGTTGAGTCACTTCTCCTGTCTCCTTTCCTGATCAGCGATGACATTTGTGTATTTACTTGTGAGCTGCTTATGGCCCCTCACACTTAAGGTCCATGTACCAGAGAGCGGTCCTGCTTGTTACCTGGTCTCTTGGTCCAGGGCCTGGCTCCCAGCAGGGCTCAGTTAATACTTGTGGACTAGGAAAAAATCTATGAACTAGATGAACAGGATAGGTAGGATAAAGGAGTTTTTAAAAGTACGTATGAGGTGTGGATTGTGTTTTCTTTTAGACATGAAGAAACTGAAACTCAAGCTAAATGGTACAGAGCATGGAGTGGAGGATGACCTTGATTCCTGAGTGCTGGAATTACAGGCAGGTGCTACTGTGCTAGACCTATATGCAATGCCAGGCCTGTGCATACTGAGCCCGTCCCCCGCCACTGACTCCACTCCCAGCCACAGGTTAGTTTTGTGTTTGTGGTGCTAGGTTTGAACCCAGGGCCTTGTATACACTAGGCAAGTGCTCTTGCATCCCCAGGCCCACAATGTAGCTTTAAAATGAGGGTTTCGGATGGTTGCATGATAGTCTTTGGAAATTTTCTTTTCTTTTCTTTTTGTTTTCTGAGGCAGGGTTTCTCTGTATAGATCTGGCTGTCCTGGAACTCGCTCTGTAGAGCTGGCCTCATACTCAGAGATCGTCCTGCCTCTGCCTCCCAAATGGTGAGATTAAAGGCCTGCATGCTCTGCTGCTGCTGCTGCTGCTGCTGCTGCTGCTGCTGCTGCTGCTGCCGCCGCCGCCGCCGCCACTACTACCACCGACCAGCTATACAATTTTCTTGACACCATTTTCTGTCAGGTGTTGAAAGCTAGAATGTGGCTTGGTGGGAGAACTTGCCCAATGTGCAAAACCCTGGCTTCTGTCTTCATTTAGAGAATGACTATATTCTCCTGTTTTTGAAAACGTCTATTGATTCACTTATTCGTGTTATGTGCCACAGTGCACTTGTGGAGGTCAGAGGACAACTTGTGGGAATTCTCTCTACTCTGTGGGTCCCAGTAATCGAACTCATGTCCTCAGGCTTGGTGGCGATTGTCTTTACTTGGTGAGCCATCTTGCCTGCCCTATATTTGTTAATCTCAAGACTACTTTTGTAATGACTATCCCTGGCTGAGGAAGATTTTTCTTCTTCCTTATGTAAATAATTCAAGGTGAAGAATCTCCACACAGCCAGCCATAAGACAATTATGTAGCACAAAAACAGCCAGCTCTGACTGCCAAGTCTGTTTTCGTTCCGAAGTTTATATGTTTAGCCCATGTGTTCCTGACAGCTTCCCCCATGTGCTGTGCTGTCCTAGGTGGTTTGAGGACACTCCAAAGGTCAGCAGGTCAGCAAGGTAGTCCAAGTGTACAGAACTCAGCCTGTCAGCTACATCAAGCAGGGACAGATGAGACGACTAACAGCACAACTGTCCACGTGAGCATCCAACCCAGCAAGGTAGGTTCCCTGGCTGAGCGTTGGCATGTCCCGAGTGTCTGCGTAGGTGGAAGTGGTTGAGGCCTAGAGGTAGGCCAGGCAGGCTTAGTAGCCTCAACAAGAATCTAAAGCATTGGTTCTCAACCTGTGGGTCGCAACAGGGTCATAAAGCAGATATCCTGCATATCAGATATTTACATTACGATTCACAACAGTACCAAAATTACAGTTATGAAGTAGCAACAAATCACTTTATGGTTGGGGTCACCACAGCATGAGGAACTGTATTAAAGGGTCGCAGCATTAGGAAGGTTGAGAAGCACTGGCTCTCTGTGTTGCCCTTCTTCATGCTGTATCCCCAAGCTGCTGGCAAGAGGGCTCAGGCGTTCTAAGCATCACTTGTCCATTAGAAAAAGTCCTGAGAGAAGAGGGCAAAGCCCTCTTCCTGGGCATCCCACCCAGGTAAGATGTGCGGTTCACCTTTGAACTCTGATTTTACACTGCTGGAGGGGTTTTCTGAGTTTCAGATCCGTAACCCCGAGTGGTTAGTTAGGGTCCTGTCTTCATAGTTCCTGCATTATTACCCAGTAGCTGGTGAGAATCCAGATTTTTTCTAAGCAGTATATATTGCCAGCCAGGGATGTAAGAACAATTTTCAGCCATAACCAACACATTACTGAACGGCATCAATGTCTTGTAGGAGCCTCTGGGAATCTGAGGTCCTGAGATTGGCTGGCAGGAGGAACCTAAGGGGGGCTCCACTGTCGGGGGTTATGGAGATTATAAATTCCTTCCACTAAAACTCTGTTTTGTCTCTTAACAGGTGGTTATCGCCAGGCTGGAACCAGACAAAGACAGGGGAAAAATTCTTGAATGCAAAGCCAAGTCTCGGCAACTTGGGAAAGAGAAAGGCAGTGCAGGGAGCTCACTGAGGATACAGGAGTGAACAGCCTGGCATGCAACCAGGGCTGACTGCAGAGGCCGTGTCTGGTGTCTGCTTCAAACTTTTCAGAGTGTGTCTGATGAGTTTCATTGTCCACCTGTTTTGCTACTGACCTGTCACTCTTGTAAATCTCCTTTTGCAGTTTTGATAATTTATGAATAAAAATTGGAGCTGTTTTCTAATGTCAAGTGGCATTTGCATTATTTTATAAATGAAAGCCTTCTCATCCACCCCGTCAGTCTCTCAGATGTTTATAGGTGGAGCAGCGCAGTAGCAGTGATAGGCCTTGCTCTTTGTGCCTGTGGAGGGAGAAGGGCGGGGCTCTGGTTTCTGAGGCAGGGGGTTGTCTGATTGGTATCAGGATACCAACTGGCACCCTCAGAGCCCACTGGGCTCACACTGCTGTTCACCTGCACACCAGGCCTCATCGATGGTCCTCAGGCTTCCACACTGCCATTCCCCAGATCCCTTCTTTCCCCCAACCCTTTGGTTTTTCAAGACAGGGTTTCTCTGTATAATCCTTGGCTGCCCTGGGACTCGCTCTGTAGACCAGGCTGGCCTCAGACTCACAGAGATCCGCCTGCCTCTGCCTCCTGAGTGCTGGGATTAAAGCTGTGCACCACCACCAGATCCCTTCTTAACCAGATGAACCAGGTCTCTTGCTGCTCCTTGCCCAGGCTCCCTTTTCCAAGGCCTAGTATGTTATCTAATTGAAGTGTTCCTCCGTTGGAGCCAACTCGGGAATTAGCAACCTGTGCTGAGATTTGACTCTGAGTTTGTCCTTGTATTTTTGGTTTTAACCCAATTCTAGCATTTTTGATGTGAAAGTCCCATGAATGCCTGTTAGGCCTGGTTGCCTGGCATCCTCAATTCCCCTCCTGCATGGGCTTGAACTGCCCGCTGCCTTTACTTGTCTGGCTCCCACTGGCATGTGGGTTTTAGACTCCATTAAACTTCAAGATTGATTCAGGCTGGAATACTTGCCACCCCTGGGAAATCAGCCTTTGGTTAGAATGGATTAAATAGCCTTTTTTCCTTTGCATGCTGACATGGAACACGGCCGCACATATGTCAGAAACATGCTGTAGTCAGAAACATGCTGTACCACCCAACTCCACTCCCTGCTCATTCTCCCTATATGAAAAGCTACAACAACCAGAAGCAAGAACTGTTCTTCCTTGTTTTAACTTTTAATCAATTACTGTCATTTTTCGGTAAGACCTCACTATGTAACCCAAGCTGGCTGGCCTTGAAGTCATGTACCTCTTGCCTCCAGAACGTCAGGATCATAGGCAGGCAGTGCCCATCTTCAAGGCTGTGAAAATTAAAGTATCAGCTCACCAACCCTGCCTAACTGTAGGCGTCACATGCTTGTTTCTGTTAGTTTCCATCCTTGCGCTCCCATTCCTGGGTGTGATGTGTGTGTTTCACATCAACTTCAGCAATTCTTAAATCCACACAAACTTGATTTGTATCTGTAGAATACATACCCAGCTTACAAAGTGGTTGCCGACCACATCAGAGGTGTAACCTGCTAAGTGGAGTCAAGTGACTATAATGAGTAGCTTAACTAGGAAGTTCTGTGTGTGGGGGTTTTGTTATTTTGAGTATTTTGAGATTTGTCTATGTTAGTATAGGTGTTTTGCCTGCAGATCTATGCTCCATGTGCATGCAGTGCCTAAGGCCAGAAGAGGGCAGCACAAAACCTAAAAGGATTGTGAGCCACTGTGTGTGCTGAGAATCAAACTGGAGTCCCCTGGAAGAGCAGCCAGTGCTCTCCACTGCTGAGCCAGCTCTCCAGCCTCAGGTTGATACTGTCTATCAAAGTTTGTCTTCATTCTCAATCAGCTCAAGTTTAGGAGTCCAGAAGTTGAGTGAAAGTTAGAGGTCATATAGACTAAGTTTACAGCTGTGCAAGAGTTCACTAAAGGAACAGAACCTACAGAATGAATATATACGAGCAGGGCATTTATTAGATCGCTTACACAGTATGGCCTGGGTTCATCCAACAGTGGCTGTCTTCACACCGCAGAAGCAAAGAACCCAGTAGCTGCTCAGTCCACAAGCTTTTCCCTTGGGCCTCACTCATATCTGGACTGCCACCCAAGGTTCCACCCTCTTATGCTGGGTCTTCCCTCTTTGAATGACCTGATCAAGAAAAGCCCTCCCTGCTGTGTCCAGCTGTCTTTCAGTTAATTCCAGATTCAGGCAGGCTGACAGCCAACATGAACCATCACACACAGCCTGCAAACAGAGGAAGCAACGGTGTTCACCGCTGCGGCTGCTGAGGGTATGGTGGCTGGAGTGTAACACGAAGCTGTGTTCCCCCATCACAGATTCACACACACAAGCACACGGAACCCAGCCTGTTCCATACCCCCCACCCTAACCTGGCCGGAAGACACACTGAAGCCAGAACAGGATTCAGCTCCTCAATGGGCATGCACCTGCAGCTGACCCCAACTGGGTCTCAAAGGCCAATGGGCATTATGGCTTTGTCTTAGTGTTTATTGCTGTGAAAAGTCACCATGACCATGTCATCTCGTATAAAGGAAAACATTTAACTGGGGCTGGCTTACAGTGTCAGAGGTCTAGTCCATTATCAGCATGGCGGGAGGCATGGCGGAATGCAGGCAGCCATGGCGCTGGAGAGGTAGCTGGGAGTTCTAGATCAGATCCACAGGCAACAGGAAGGGTGAAAGACATTGGACCTGGCTTGGGCTTCTGAAACCTCAAAGCCCACCTCCAGTGACACACCTACTCCAACAAGGCCACACCTCCTAATCCTTTTAATAGTGCCAGTCCCCTGGTAACTAAGCATTCAAATATAGGAGTCTATGGCAGCCATTCTTATCCAACCACCACAGCTTCCTGGGAGGCCCGTGGGCTAACTTCTTGGTGTGATTTGTGGCCTTTGGAAAAACCACAATCAACAGTTGCTGCCAAGGGATGCAGGAGCAACCTTGATGCAGGCAGGACAGACATGCAGGACTCCTGGGCTTCACTGTTTAAAACAAACAAACAAACAAAAACACCTTAAAAAGAAAGCAGAAGGGAGGGTGGAGAGTTAGCTCAGCAGTTACGAGCACTGGAGACTCTTGCAGAGGACACTGTCTCCACATCAGTTATGATGATCTCTGGCCTCTGCAGAGGTACACATCAATCTCTCACGGGTACATATACATACACATTTTTTAAAAGTCTTTAAAAAATTATTTTAAAAAAGAAAACAGGCCAGATGATGGTGACCCACACCTTTAATCCCAGTACTATGGAGGCAGAGGCAGGCAGATCTCTGTGAGTTTGAGGCCAGCCTGGTCTCCAAAGTGAGTTCCAAGACATCTAGGGCCATATACAGAAACCCTGTCCCAAAACAAAGAAACCCAAAATGTGTGATCTTGAAGAGACTGGAGACTAACGCCCCCTTCAGGCCCCAGTGTGGTCCGCCTTTGGGAGCAGATGTAGACAAGGGCCACTTGTACTTTAGTTTTGGGGCTTATCTCTTATGTTGTCTTTTGGACATGTTTTGTAAGCCTGTTTTCCTCCCATTTTATTGGATTCATACTTAAAATACGAAACTTCATGACTAAAATACCCATCACAGAGGGAAGGGGCTGGAGGGAGGGCTCAGCTGTTAAGAGCATCTGCTCCTCTTGCAGAGGGCCCAGGTTTAGTTCCCAGCAACCCCCCATAACAGCTCACAACTATCCATAACCCCAGTTCCAGGGTATCCAATATCCCCTTCTGACCTCCAAGGGCATCAGGCACACATGTGTTGCACAGACATACATACAGGCAAGCACACATATACATACAATATGTTGTTTTGTTGTTGTTGTGTTGTTTGGTTTTTTGAGACAGGGTGTCTCTGTGTAGCCCTGGCTGTCCTAAAACTTACTTCGTAGACTAGGCTTGCCTAGAACATCTGATTGCCTCTGCCTCTGGATTGCTGGGATTAAAGGTGTACGCCACCACTGCCCAGCCAAGCAGACTGTTTTAACAATGTACATTCAATGCAATATTAGCCTTAAAAATAGAGTTGTTTGTATTCCCAGCATGCAGGAGCTGGAGACAGGAAAATCACAATTTGGGGCAGTTCTAGGGCAGCCTAGCCTACATAGTTAAACTCTCTCTCTCTCTCTCTCTCTCTCTGTCTCTCTCTCTCTCTGTCTCTCTCTGTCTCTCTCTCTCTCTCTCT